GGGTTGCTATGGATTTTTAAAGATCACAGTGAGAGGGCTCTTAGTCCTATCAGGAGAGAGAGCAAAATACAAGGTATGATGAGCACAAGTCTAGAGATACACTGCAAATGCCTTTGGGGTTGCATGCACGTCTGTGTTGAGCATCATTAACTTTCTCARTATGTAAACGCATCCAGCACAGCAGTGCTGGGCCACATCTCTGCTAAGACTGGTTGGTTTTCGTGTGGTCAGAACAACCCCTCTGCTTATGCCTGCAGTATTGGACTGGCTTTGCTCACTGGGTGGCACTAGATACGTCTGCCTTGCCCCTGTTCTGCTTATAGCCATTCCTAACAATAAGAGGTTTTGTCTCTGCCTGGCGTCCAGCAGCAACAGYTCCCCAAGCCTCCTGAGCAATTATTCTGTCTCTGCACTTCGGACTTAATCGGAACATTCTTGCCGAAGTTGAAACTAAGGCGTCGCACGGATAATCTAAGCTTTGCTTTTCTTCCCTCCCATTCCAAGTGACCGTGAAAACAACAAGYCCTCCCTCTCCGTGGCCGCAGCTCCATGCTAGCTATTGTCCTGTCCTTTATCTCTTTCGCTGCACCAACCCTACTCTTTAGCAAGAGGAAAGAGATCATAGCGGCAAACCAGGAGAAGGAGGGTATCATCAAAAGTGCAGAAACTAATGTGTGCTGGGCCTCGATACTCTGTGCTAGTTTTTCTGACATGCTAAATGACGTGGTTCTTTCACTGCTGGTGCTCGGCCTGAGAGCAAGAACTCTTGCCCATGCCCAGCAAGAACTCTGCTGCCCATGGATGCTTTGCCCGGGCTGTAGTCACTGTTGGCAGTGTTAAATCATTCTGCATTGGTGAGGGTGTCCAACCAGCCGRTACCAGCACCTGGAGCAGTAGAAATGCATAGAAATGCATGTCCACAGGCAAACCAGGAGGCTGTAAGGAGAGCAGTGTGTGGTGCACAAACGAACTGCCAGAGCTGAAAAGGGGATCCTTAGATTTAAGGATGAAGGAGCACTGGGAGGACACGATGGCAGTGCGCTAGGGTGCCTAGAACACAGCAATGCTCTCAGGAGCAAACTTGGAAATCAGTGCTCAGGCAAGGACTGCAGTCTGGCAAGTGAAGGCAAACAAGGGTTGGGGGAAAGGGTAAGAGTGCAGGAGAGTCAACCCTTTTCTTCCCCGCTCAAAACTCTTCATTTCCCCTCCTTCTCTACTTGGCCAACWATATTTTTGCTCTGGCACCTGACTCCACAGCGAGAGAGGTATTCCTCCTTCCTCATGTGGTTACTTTCTTTCCTGATTAAAAGTGATTAAGCAGCTCTAAAGCCTACAGAAATGCGACGGACTAGAACAGCAACAAAGAGTCCATTCAAGACCTCTTAAATCCCCAAGGCAGTATTTAGAGAGCCCTGCAGCACAGAACTGGGGCAGAACCACTCTACCAACACCCCCCCACTCTTCCTCCTTTGGGGCTCTTTCTTGCCACCTTCTACTCCACCATGTCATTTTCCGAAGCAGAAGTGCAAAGTGCCCGTGGTGCCTGGGAGAAGATATATGTTGACGCTGAAGACAATGGGACAACTGTGCTGGTCAGGTAAGGAAAAAGCCCATCCCACCGCTACCCGAGAGGTTTCAACATGGCACCTTAAGGAGGAAGAGCTAGAGTTGCTAGAGAAACTAGCAACACATAGAAACACATAYTGATGCATTTCATATAGTCCTGTCTGGGAATGGTATGTTTTGCTCTGGTCAACCCACCTCAGGAAAGAAACAGCAAGAATGAGAGCGATTCCTAYAAATAAGAGCAGAAGGAGGAATGGGAGAAAGGGGTCGGGAAGACTAGGACAATMTCCTAAACACTCCCTTCCCTCGCTCCCTCCAAAGAGTGATGTAGTGAAGGTAAAGACAAGGAAGGCTTGTATAAAAGAGTAAAGGAACAGAACAAGTTCCTCTTTGTTCCCTCTTTTCCCTCTAAACTTTTTTTTTTTAAATTTTTACTTTTATATCCTTGATATTTCCCTTTGGCTTCTCTTTCAGATTTTCAGTCTACAGATCACCTTTCCCTATGCTGTTATCTTTTATTGTTTTTACACTATTTTCTCTCTGCTTCCATAAGATACAAGTCTTTTTCTACTCCCCTTGCACATACTCCTCTCTCAGCTGGGATTTACATCATGCCCATATGCATTGATAAAGCCAAATAGTATTTATCTCACCTTTACCATTCCCTTTGGCCCCTTCCCCTCTTCACTTCTTTTGCCTGGATCAGCCTCCCCAAAGGCGGCTGCCACGCACTGTTCTGTCCCGCTCTGGTCTACACAGCCTGAGAACAGTCAGGGTCAGAAATGCAGCTATGAAATGGCAGTGTCATCCCACTGTTYGGCTCCCTGGGCTAGTTTAGCACTGAGGATTTGGGGTTAACACCCTACAGATTAGCCCTGCCTTTTTGGAGTGATCTGGATTTTGATTCTTATCAAGGACTATATTCATATAAATGCCAGCTAGCCTGTCACTGCAGACAAAGCTATTTTACCTGTGATAAAAGCAGCCCAGAACCCTCAAACTTGCACTTTAGACTGAGATCCTGTCCTACATTTGTGAGGCTTTAATTTGTGGAAAATCACCTTTCTTTACAAAGTGAAATGTAAGTCAAAAGTGACGCAGAAGACAAAAGTCCTTCCCAGAACAATTTCTGCAGTGAATACCGGCAAAACCTCACCTCTTGGCCACTGTCAGCATTGCAAGTGCAACAGTCACTGCCTGCTCTATTTCTGTGCTGTAAGAGGCTATGGCCCTTTGGATCTTAAGCCCTTCTGTTCTAGCACTGAAATTTGGAATATGCTATTGGTTTTTCAGGTGGCTAATTAGTTCATCCATTTAAGGAAATTCTTGCTTTTTTAAGAATCAAACCAAGATGACTCTGATGGATTATAAAAGGCAATTGCTTTACTAATGGCATAAAAGCAAGTTACCTTTTCTATATATGAAACGATCAGTACTACTGTACCTAGTACTCATCTAATAGCCCTTCACCGTCAATAAGATGGGAAACAAAGCCAGGAGCAGTGTTTCTCTCTGAAGATGTCCAGTGGGAGGAAAACAGAATTATCTGCTCTCTAGAACACTGTTGTGACCATTTCCCCGGGGATTTTGTCTCCACATAGCACTGAGTCAAGCCCAAAAAAGCTTTTACTTCAGCAAAAGTGGGAAAAAAGAATCAGATTCAGCCTTTCTCAGGCAGATGACAGTTTCAGGTGCTCACAGACCTTATGCTGTGGAGTCCTAGTTACAAGTCCTTATGAAGTAAAACTCAGCTGGGAACAGAAATCAAGGAAGCTGGTCAAACTACAGTGAAGGAGCCTCCCAGCACACCACATCCCTGGTCTGTGAATCACAGACCAGGGACAGAGCCAGCAGCTTAAGATGCAGCGAGCAAAGAGCCCAGGGGAATGGCAAGGGAATGGACTGGGGTCCTGCAGTGGTGGGGATAGGATGGACAAAGGAGAAAGAAAGCATACACATGATGAGGAATTTGTTATAAAGAGAAAGAAAAAGATCAATAAATGCATAAGCAAGGCCTGGAACATGATGACATTTGAGGCTAATGCCTCAGCCTGCCAACTGTGCCATCTCTCATTTCTTGCCCTAATTTCTTTTGCCCTCACGACAGGATGTTTACAGAGCACCCGGACACCAAGTCCTACTTCACGCACTTCACGGGCATGGACTCTGCCGAAGAGATGAAACAGTCYGATCAGGTCAGGGGACACGGCAAGAAGGTTTTTACTGCCATCAATGACATGGTGCAACAGTTGGACAACACTGAAGCTTTCCTTGGGATACTGAACCCACTGGGCAAGAAACATGCCACCCAGCTCAAGATTGACCCCAAAAACTTCAAGGTGAGCCAGCAGCCACCTTTCCCTGAGATGTCATTGTTGTGAAGGGATGGCTTTTTCGCTTGGAGGGGAAGAGCTGGGGGAAAACAGGTATTTTGATGCTTGGGAAAGAGAAGAGAGTGGAAAAAAAAAGAGTTGATGGTGGAAGATAGTAGAAAGGAGAGATCTGACATGCAATGGGTGTGTTATAATTCTCTTCTGGCTTGTTATAAGAGCTAAGATCTGTGATACAATACCATATATAGTACAGTACGTGCATACATACACACACAAATACAAGTATGTATCTTCATACTAGATACATTTATTTTCAGAAGCCGAATCTGTCGCTCCTCATCTGGCTTCCTCATTGGCATGACCTTCTCCCGGGGGCTGCTGAGGGCTGTTGGGAGCAAAGCTCTGCAGCAGATGCAATGTGGGCTTCAGATTAGAGCTGAAGGCTGCCTCTGTGCTGTAGTGGCTTTCTCGTTCTGTGTGCAAGAGGATTTGCATTTGTCATCTAATAAGAAGATATAAATAAAAAGCTTACACCAGGCTTCAGTTTAGGATGGCAATCTTTCTGTAGTAAGAAGAATTGAGCTTTTGATGGACAACTGAAAAAGCCACTGACAAACAGCCCTGGCAACACTAAACAAATACAGAAATACGGRAACGGTTCACTTGCCTGAGCCCACCCAAAGTCCCATTAGCAGAGAGGACTTGTAACCCTTACCTGCCTTACACAAAATGTAAAAAGGAAATCGGGGGCAAATGTTATTTTACAAAGGTAGGAGAATGGGGCTTATTTCTAGTTCTGCCATAAACTGCTAAATTGTTCTTGTTCCCCTCTGCCTTCCTCAAAAAATCTGGAACCCAACTAAAAAGATGCAACTTTCTTACATATATAACGTGAAAGACAATTCAGTCTTTTTGTTTCTTCTCTTCTCCCAATTTAGATTATCTGTGACATCATCTTGCAACTGATGGAGGAGAAATTTGGGGGAGACTGCAAAGCGTCCTTTGAGAAGGTGACCAATGAGATCTGCACTCACCTGAACAACGTCTACAAAGAAGCTGGCTGGTGAGGAGGCAACCTCTGCACTTCTTGTGCTTCTCACCTGATTTGCTGCTTTTGGTCCTCTAGCCACAGTTGGAAGAAAGAAAAAGTCAAAAACAAAACAACAGARAGAGACATATAATATAGATATTAAYGTCAGTAATTGCCTTAGCAAACTGAGTTTCTACAATTAAATGAAAACCCTATACGTAAACATCAAAGCTTTGCAGCTTCAGTGCTCAGGTGGGTTCTTCTGGTAACAGTCCTTGAAGACCGTAGAGTTGATTTTAAGCTTGTTAATCCCAAGTGACTTTCTCCTTGCGTCTCCTCAGAGAGGAACCAGCAGCTCTTACTAGAAGCAGGAGACCGTTTAGAAGCATCTCCTGTGTCAGGGACTTTGAAGAGATCATGCTCTGAAACACTTAAGAGCTGTTTCTTAATTGAACTAAAGAATTAAAAACACTGTGTGTGGGGTGGGGGGGCAGCCTTAGAAGGGGCTTTCTAAGTAGGGGAAAGAATAACTTCTGAGAAAGTCACAGGGAAAGTCCGATCTTGAGCAACCTGGAAGAGTCTTGGATGAGGGTGTCTCAGAGAGCTCTGGGGGTGGCAGKGTTTTATGAGAGGTGTTGAGGGGCCTGTAGTCAGCATGCAGTCTCCATCGGCATGGGATGAACATCTGCAGCACCTGGTTTCATAGTGCCCATTGCAGAAATTTGCTCTGATACCCTTCTTAGGAGAGGGCAATAGGATCATGCTCCTGGGCTTCTCCCACACTACTTAAAATCCACCCAACCGAGGGCACTTTCTCCTCCTCTGGGTGCAGTGTGGCAGGCTCAGCTCCCTGGAAGACTTCTACAGCACTTCCCTCTTCCTATCCTTTCACAAGGTCTGAACCTCTCCTTTATCAACAGCTGAGTTCAAAACCATTTAATTGCTTCTTCTTGTATTCCTTAGAGGTGGTGAAATCATCAGCTAATTAACTGCAAGTAACCACATGCCCTTTTGCTTAAATGTAACCCAATAAACACAAAGAAAGCAGATACATCTTCTTGTTTGTAACAGAACAGGCACTCAAAAGACATTTGCCTTGCAGAAATGCTAGCGGCTGTAATACGGGTTCACCTCAATCAGCTCAAGCTACCATCCAGGCATGGCTCAAACTTGCATTAGAATTTCCTAGGACAGTGGCAATTTGTCCGGCAGGATACTGAAATCCCAAAGTCCAGAATCTACATTTTTGGAGAAGGAGGATGGGGTGGGCTAYTTAGTGAGTCAGTATTCTGTCCTGCTAGAGGAACCAGGCAGACCTGGGCTTTCACATGCCCGGGGTAAAATTACGACACAAAGGCAGCAAGAGAAAGCAGTGAATGAAAAAGCTTTCTGAGTTTAAGACCTTGTTGTTTCCAAGGTCCTTCCTAAACACACTACTGCTCATGTTGCAAATCAAAGMACAAAATGAGTAGATTCTGAAAGCAGTTCACGAAAAGGGGGAGACAACCTAAATTTTTAGATTGCATTTTGAAAGAAGACAAGTCATCTGCAGCTTGGGAGGATTCAGTAGCTTCTTTGGTGGGAGAAGGTGGCAGCACTTGAAAGTGCATAGAAGGTAAAACAAAACAAAACCAAAAYAATTCCCACAATTTTTAACAAACTTTCTAGGAGGCAAGATCACACCCAAAACATTGAGTAGGTGTAAGGGAAGTGTTACTGAGAAGTATATTGTTCTCCATTTTCAATATTACAAGGATGATTACAAGACTCATAAAAACYATTTTTCAAACCATTTATCAAAGCTATCACAAGCTGCACACGTAAAGCTAATGCACTGAAATGTTTAAAACGAATTTCACTTTGTTTGCTCAGACACACATTTATAGTGCTATTTGCTGTGACCATGGACACATGCAGAGCAGGCCCATCACAGGCCAGCCGGCACTGACAGCCCAAGCTGAGGAGCTTGGAGAGCCTGGCTGCTGGTTTAAGGCTCATGTGTTCACTGCTGCTGTGACAGAGAGGAAGAGATGCGGCCAGAGCTAACGAGTGTAGAACTCCTCAAACTCAGGAAGAGAGATAGAGGGTGAATTACTTCTTAATTCCATTTACAAGGAGGCTATACATGAAAATTTAGACTTCAACAATACGAGTGTGTTAGTTATAGAATTAACAAGTCCATGAATTCCTAAGATTCACAGGATGTTAGGAAGTGTTCACAAAAGAAATGAGAGGGCATCTTGGTTTGAGGGTATCTGCGTTTAATTCTCATTTTCTATCAGTTACGTTACACAACTCTGGCTGACATTCCTCTGATGTCAATGTCCATCTACAAAATTGGGAAAATAATATTCATTTTGTCACTGCAATATTCRTATACTTAAAAGGCAAATCAAACACACTCTTTACTTAGGTGAACCAGTAAATACATGGTTTTACAATGTTACATATGCATCTGTGAAAAGAAACCTATGGAAAACAACATACCTAAAGAGGCAGGAAGAGATTTTCTGTGGAGCAATGAGTAGGTAGGTCCAAAGAGTTCACAGACAATCTGTGGGACATCAAAGAAGGTCTGGGTGAGACAACGTTGTGACAAAGGCAAGTGTCTGTGACAAGTTACACCAGTTAATGTAGTTTTGCCATAGAGTTTTGTTTGTATCCAATTACCTTCTGTAAAGCCACCATAATGGAGAGACAGGGAAAATATTGAGATATACTAGGGGAGATGGAATAGGAAGTTTATTCCCCGTGTTGGGCTTGTCTGGCTTGCATCCACTCTTCCTGTTGTAAGGCTGATTGTGTTATTGGTGATAAAATCTTGAATGTCTTTGCTGTAGACCTGGGGGTGCAGGTATGACAGACCAAGAGAGTAGGGGCTTCTTACAGCAGCTCTGCCCGACACTTAGCTGCCAGCAGGAGGATATGTGAATGTGGTCAGAAGAGAACTGAGAATAGAAACATTTTTAGCCCATGCTAAGGGGTAGCTCCTGATCAAAGAGAGTACACCCAGGGAGAACTGTTAAACAGTTAAGTAGCCTTCCTGTTCAAACATAATGTACCAGAATGTAATGATACAACATACTAACAGAAAGCACTGCTGCCTATAGGGAAGAAAAAAGAAATCATACTTAGCTAAAACCACTATTTGAGTCAGCATTAGCATGCAGCRGTCCCTGCAAAAACATTAAAACCACCATTAAACTTGAGTACCAGCCCATCAGACATGACATTTTATTACGTCCAGGAACTCCAGAATCATGCTGCAAAATAAACAAACAAAAAMCCCACAAAGTTATTTTAACTTTCTGAATAACTCTCAGCATGCCGAAGTATCCAATTTTTATTTTACTACAACATCCTAAAGGCTGAGGGAGCTGGGCCTGTTCAGCCTGGAGAAGAGRAGGCTGAGGGGGGACCTGATCAGTGTGTATAAATACCTCAAGGGAGGCAGTGAGGAGGAGGGGGCGGCCTCTTTGCAGTGGTGGACARGGACAGGACTAGAGGAAACGGCCACAAGCTGAGGYACCAAAAGTTCCACAGGAACTTAAGGAAGCATTTCTTGACAGTGAGGGTGACGGAGCACTGGAACGGGATGCCCAGGGAGATTGTGGAGTCTCCTTCTCTGGAGATCTTCCACACCCGCTTGGACGCAGCCCTGTGCCCCGTGCTCTGGGTGACCCTGTGTGAGCAGGGGGGTTRGACTAGATGACCTCTGAGGTCCCTTCCAAMCTTMRGCATTCTATGGTTCTATGATTCTATCCTGCTTTAGGAGAAGAGGATGTAAGACGCCTTTTCTTTCTTTTGCTTTTAAAAAAGAATTATTCAGATAATGAATATTTAAAACAATACCGAGGTTCAGTGAACTGCAGGTGCCACACGGTGGCCATTCTGGTTGTGGTGGTGCAGCCGGCACGAGGCAGACCGTGGTGTAGCTGCTCCAGCCCCACGGTGCTGCCAGGGCCAAGGCAGCACTGCTGCTGGCAGTGACTTCCCGCCCACASCCTGGTTTACGCCACCCACTGACACAAAGCAGAGCAGGGCGACCCCCTGTTCACAGAATCACAGAMTGGTTGAGGTTGGAAGGGACCTCTAGAGATCATCCAGTCCAACCCCCTGCTCCAGCAGGGACACCCAGAGCACGGGGCACAGGGCGGCATCCAGGYGGGTTTGGGAGATCTCCGGAGAAGGAGACTCCACAGCCTCCCTGGGCAGCCTGTGCCACGGCTCTGGCACCCTCACAGGAAAGAAGTTCCTCTTCACATGGAGATGGAACTGCCTGTGTTTCAACTTGTACCTCTTTCCCCTTGTCCTATCACTGGCCACCACTGAGAAGAGTTTGGCCCCTTTCTCGCTACATTCTCCCTTGATCAGATCCCCTCTCAGCCTTCCCTTCTCCAGGCTAAACAGGCCCAGCTCACTTAGTCTTTCCTCATACGAGACGCTCCAGTCCCTTTATCATCTTTGCTGCTCCCTAACAACAATCAACCTCAAATAGCTCTGTCGCTCTGTTGCTGCACTGACTTCCCATGAGCACAGGCCCATCCGTGAATCCCCGGAGTACAAGCAGGCATGGAATTTCAGCATGAGGAAGATGAGGGTTGTGAAAACTGCTAGATGACCAAGACACGTGTCCCACTATCCATCGAGGTGGCCCTGGCACTTGGGAACCCGGCCATTCCTTATTTCCACTGCTCCGTAGCAAACCGGTTTGAGCTTGGTAAGATGGCAGGAATGTGAATTCCTGCCACACATTAAGTCCCCAACACAACTGCTACCTTCTAATGATGGATGCAAAGGCTGCAGTAAGCCTTTCAGGCTGCGACTGCCTGAAGAATTGCCCTATTACCAACCTCTCTTAGCCAGCAGCAGGGACATTTTTACCCTTCTGCTCCTACCTGCAGTTCACCACCAGTGTTTTACTGCAGTCAGCACTAACTGGCCCCTTTCAGCCTGGGCAAGGCCGCACGCTCAGAGCAGTTTCCAGCAGGTCCTTCTGGACGTTGCCAGGTGGCACCTCTGCTCCAGCGCTAGTTAACGCTGCCTCCCAGCCCATGCATTCCCATGGCTACTCCCTGCCCGCTGCAGAGCACGGCCAAGCAGCTTGGGACTACACCTACCAGCATCCCAGCAGAGAAAACTAGCGGGAGCCAGGGGAGGCAAATGAYGAGAAAAAAATTTAATCACTTGCTGACTCTCCATTATGTGCCGAGGGAAGAAGGAAAAGCAGGACAAAAAGGGAGTCTGAGTCCAAACAAATATTTTGTCCTCTCCTCTCCTGCATTTCTGGTTGCTGATACTGCCCTTGTCCAGGAGGCCACTGCTTCCCAGTTTTGCAGGCTGCTGTGGAAGTTAACATTTTTAGGTGTTACTGGAAAAAAAAAAAAAAAAAAAAAAANAAAAAAAAAAAAAAAAAAAAAGAGGAGAAAGAATTGCATCAGCACTAAAGGTGCAATAATTTATTAAGAAGTAGAAAAAAAAGGTCATCAAAGGAAGAAACAAAGAGCAGGAACCGTACATGATTGGTGAAGATTCCACTAACACTTTTTTTAAAAAATGATTTTTTATTCTTTTTTTAAATAAACCACTACATCGAGCAAAACTCATGTCCACCCCTTGCTGAACAATAAACCACTCTGAGGAAGGTGGCATGGGAAATGTGAAGTGGGGATGGCAGAACTGAGGGAATATCAGGTCCTGCTGATCCTTAACACGTATGACACCAAATCGCTCCAGCACACAGCTCATTTTGCGTTCATGGYGCTGCACAGTAATAGACAGCACCCATACTCTGCTCACATGCCTAAGAGTTATGGAGCAGAGAGTACACACTCACTTCAAGCCATTTTCAGTGCCAAAAAGCTCCTTCTTTGTTGACACCCCTCAGTCACCACAGAAAAAATCCTTCTTCCAGCTGCAGAAGGCACCCACGCTCTCGGCCATTTTGCTTTGGCTTCTCATGGCTCCACCAAGTCACCACCATTCTTTCTTCAGCTACATAGATCAAATCTTCCTCAAAGTTATTTAAGATTATTATAACCTTATATTTACATGGGCTTAACGGGCTGGTTCATGTATTTGTCCTGCTACCCAAAGCATAGAATAGAAGGTGCCTTAGAGGCACCAAGGGGGCAAGACAGAGTGGACAAACTAAGAGACAGGCTCTGCAGTTAGGGCTCACTCTGTAGCACAGGAAGAAATTTTCCAAATTCATTASCCGATGGAAGGTGAGAATAAACATGAATAATCTCCTGTAACAGCCAAATAGGTAAGTGTGGTGTTGGATACTAAATGCAGCTGAACCAGGTCAAGCTCCATTTTGCACAGAAATATTGCTGTTCTTCTATGTAGTTCTTCCTGGCTCAGCAGGAAAAGCAGTGCACACATGGTCAGTAACGGATCCAATCCTGGTAACAGATCCTCCAGCTGCTTCCCCTCTTATTGCTGTTCTGTTYTACGTTCTCAATTGATCCAGAGCAAAAGCTGTGTGAGATGCAGCAAATGTGCTTTTAGACCCTAACTTTATTTCAAACACTTTAATAAATGGAGTAAACTACTATTTTTGCTCTATTCCTAAAACCTGCCATCAGCTAAAAAGTTACACGGAGAGACAACAGTCCAAGTGAAAAAAAAAATCAAGAACAAGATGCTTTACTACAGCATCCTTATGGTCATTCAGGAGCTACATCCACATTCCTTTCCTATTAGCCGTAGGCCTCCTGCCACGAGGGTTTCTTTTCATCTCCCGACAGGAAAGGCCTTCAGCATTCTCAGTTCCAAGGGCCTCTCAAGCACGTGTGGATCTGAGATGCCCTGGCTGGGGATAGGCCAGTAGCATCCGCAGGGACAGAGCCCTGCCTGCGCGGCCAGTGCCAGAGCCCTGCCCACAGCAGCTTCCCCGTTCCCTGGGGATCCAGCACTGCCACCGGTGCCTCTCAGAGRCCAGAACAGCCCTCAAGGTGGGCACTGCCTACGTAAAGTGGGAGGGGAAAGGGAGATCTAATTGTGACCGTAAATAGTAAAGCCCAAACTATTTGATTGATCTGAAACACTCTGATACTGTCATAATTTCCTTTTTCCCTGACATGATGCAAAGACTGATATTTRCTTTTTCCAAATCCCTTTCATCATCTGGAGCATCCAAAATGCTTTCATCAATATCACTTTTTAGATTGATACTGGATGCATGAAATATTCAGCATGAAATATTTAGGTGAACTCCTCAAAGCTTCACCCTCCTAGAAACACCTAGTTAGGGCAGCTTGTTTAGAACACAAGGGCCGAAGATCATTACTCCCACGCACACATGCTTATTAACACAAAGTTAATAAAGCAGTATCCATTACTGGTAGGTGATCCAGTTCTCTTGCATCAGGAGGAAGATAGCAGCAGCCTTAATTAGGTTTTCTTTCTAACTGTACTCCAGTCCCCTCTTCAGACACAAGGCAAGTATTAATTTCCACAATAATTCAGTTTTTTTTTTTTAAATCAGGAAACTAGCAGTAACACTTACCTTCTCTCTGCTTAATAATTGTGGGGCACTCCGATATTATGGAGCTCACCAACCTAGGAAAACCTATGAACAAGGAAAGGCCCAAAGTCCAATCACCCTTTCATATTAAAAGCAAACGAAAAAAGAGCCCTTTGTAAAGTCAATGGCATGTTTTCATTAATTTGCTGTTAAGCAGCACGTATATATATTTAAATAGAAACAGAGCATCTCTAGTTGCTGGGTACAGTGGGAAAAAGGCCTTCAGTACTTGTGGAATATTTATATTCCAGAAGCTGGGCAGTGTTCCACTCAGCTGCAAAGTTGCTATACAAATACGCAACTAGAAATCACAGAATGGTTAAGGTTGGAAGGGACCTCTAGAGATCACCTACTCCAAATAACCATCCTTTGTCACACTGGGAGCCAATATTCCATTAATGAAAGTGTGACAACACTGACTTTAGCGAACGCTCGAACAGTGTGCACAGACCAGAGGGACAAATATTGATGACTTACATTTGTCAAGCAGTTGTGCCACGCAGGAAATCACAAAATATTCCCAGGAAGGAAATTCATGTTCACATTTCAAGCAGATTAAGGGGGAGGGGAGAAAAAAAAAAAAAAAGAGAAGAGTCAGCCATAATATTACAGTATTTCTACAGGAGTTTAGAAGGCCATGAATTCAAAGAGAAGGGAATGTGTCATGTTGGATGCAAGATACAGGTCCCTGCTGAAATTTAACAGTCCTGTTCTAGGTTTCAATGACAGCGAAATACTACTAAAATTTTTCCCTGTGCTAAAATTATCAACCATGTGTTGGTATGCCCATAGTGAAAAAATCAAATGTCACGGGAAAAAAAAAAAAGAGAGAAATAAATGTATGCAACACTAGACAAAAAATCCAAGCTGTTTATCCATGATCACGCGGCCTGCATAGGCCCTGTGACTATAAACTGCAGAGAAGTCTCTGCAGAACATATTGAGCACGTCAATAAATCCTTACAAGCACTGCTCTGCAGTACTGCTGCTATGGAACTGTGGTGCTATCTCAAGAAGGAAAAAACTTACCCAATTCCTAAATTCTTCTGTGTGAAGGTAGGATGAATTCAAACAGCTCATGTGCTCCAAAGCACTTTCAGTCCTACAGAATTCACCGCAATCCCTTTATGTGAAGATAACTTCCGCCTAAATGAAACACTGCTTCTGAAACTGAAGCCATCAAATAATTAAGATCTGTCCCATGATCATTAGAATTCTACAGGCTTTGGCCTCTAAAGATCTGAGAATAGTCAGGATTATAATCAGACATATTGCTTCTCCTGGAGTACACTTGCAAGTTAAAAACAAACGAATAACAAAATTTCAATCAAATGACTGAATGGCTACAGAAAAAAAGTAACTACTTTGCAAGACCAGTGTACTATTTTTAAGTTACTGGACAATACAGTTTCCTTTTTTAAGTTTTATTTTTGTTCTCTGTTTGTTGCTCTTGTTTTGCCTTTTTTTTTTTTTTTTTTTTTTTTTTTTTTTTTTTTTTTTACAATTAACGGACATGCCGTTTACACCCCGCAAGAAAAAGCAGAAAGAGTCCTTATGGAAAAAAAAACAAATATATTGAACACATACCAATCAAATGGTACAGATACGGGACTGGCTTTGATTTCAAAATTTAAGTAGAAATAAAAAGGATGTAATGCAACAGCTGTTCAATTTCCAAGTCTAAATAGGCACTGTAAAAAGACATTTTAGCTTCCTCCAGCACGCATTCCTGTCTAAATGCTCCCACTGTAATGAACTCCTAGGTTCCCAAACAAAAATCCCTGGGAACAAAACCTTAAAAGTTAATATCCATCCACCCACCCTCTCACAAAAAAAAAGCAAACCAAAAAATTCCCCCAAATACAACCTTTCTATGCTGCTGTTTTGACTGGAGCAGAATTGGAGAATTTATAAAGGTTCAGAAGCACCCAAGGCAAGTAGTACAATATAATTTGTTCACTAACATGTAYTGGAAAGGAGATTAAAAACATTGAGATCTGCATCTTGGTACATAAAACTGTTGTCCTGAAGAAAGAGAAATCTTTCTGAAAAGTTTTACAACTTAGCGAAAGTCTAGGACCCAGCTTTAGGCATCATTAACCAATGGGATTTAATTCTGACTTAGTTATAACCATTTTTATATACTGTACATCTACCCTAGTTGGATCAGTGGCTGGAACTGCTCACTGGTGTCCCTTTGAACAACTGTAAACTAAACCATAGTATGCAACTCCATAGGAAGCTAGAGATCAGGTGAATATACAGCCAGTTATATTTCCCCTGCTTCACGCTCTTCTGAGCTCCTCGGGTCTTCTGATCGGCCGTTGGCGCTTTCGTAAGAACGTTTCTTGTCTTTGAAATCTCGGGGTGACCTTTCTCTGGAGCTTCTATCTTTATCACGTGATGTTCTATCACGATCTCTTGAACGTTCTTTGTCTCTGGACGATCTTTCTTTTGAGGATCTAAAAAACGTAATAAAGTGGAGAAGTCAAATTAGTCATCAACTTGTAGCTGTCACAAATAGAATTCCAATTTTGTATTTTCATTCTCATCCAAACTTAGGTGATTATCAACATGAATGTATGAGAAAACATCACGAATCATCCCACTCTTTTCCCTTTCCCACTTTCAATTTCAAAACACAACACTTAAAAAAGCAAAGTTTTTGAATGTATATTACTGCACTTAGGTTAAGGTWAACTTCCTTTAAATCTCTTATTTTCAGCCCTGTCCATTTATACTCTTATCTTGAGAAGTACGTTTAGGCAGCTCAGGTATGTGAAATACACATTTAAAAAAGTTTAAAATGGGAGTCTGATTAAAAGAAGTGGAAAATTGAACTTGCACAGGTTTTGGAATGAGGCTATGACACTGATGAACAGAAAAAGCAAATCTGCAGTCTGCACTACCATTAGGTTTTGTAAGAAGAATGATCACTAAGACGATCACTTAAGTGATTTTAGAGCACTGAGGTGTTGTTATTCTTAGGTATTTTACTGTGCTTCTAGGCATTTCTAAAACTTTTACAATGGAGCTGGCAAAGAGTTGTTAACCGCTCATATAGGTTTAATTCAAGAGTTGTCTGTACTGAAAACTGGATTAGCCATCCCTCTCCATATTGCCTCACACAGTGCTAAGCCTTGAGCTGAAAGGCATCACATTTCTGTTTTAAGATGACCTGCGGTCATAAAAGAATCCAATACATACTTTCACAGTAAAAGCCTTACAATGTGCTATCAAGCTGGCCAGTAATCTAATCTTCTTTCAAATTTTAAAAATATCTGGCCTACTTGACTGGCAGATYGTATTCTCTCCATTTACAAAAGGTGCTGTCACCATCTCGAAGCTTCATAAAAAAACCCTGCAATCTGCTTCTGTACTTTTTAAGTTTACCGAAGGACAACGACTTTTCAATCCAGTTTCTTGTTTGATGGAAAGATCTCTACAATGTAGTGTTCTGCAAGACCTTGTATTTACAAACATGGAGATTCTCAGATAGCATACCACAAGATTTCAGCATAGCAGGTACTACACTCCCCTCTCTGGCCCCCAAAAAGGGGTTAATCCAGCTGTTTCAGTTGTACCTCGCTCTGCCAGTCAGCTGCAGAGACGTAACTTCTAAACCGGCCGATTCAGGCTAAACGTAGTGATTAATCCTAAAACGAGGCAAATGGTAGGATGTGATGCCACCCACAGCTCTGGCTTTTCATTTAACATTTCTGGGGCAATGCGAGCCACAGTTGTCCAGGCGTCCTATCTCTCGTCAGCTGTCTCTCGTCAGCTGATAAGAACAAAGAAAGACCCTAACAAAATAGCACTGTGGCATGGAAGGGCATGCAAGTGCATTAGCAAACAKAATTATCACCATGAGGCTTCCAAGAACTGCAGCAACGCTCTTGCCTTCCTCAAAGACACAACATAGCCTTTAGAATGACAACCTCACTCCATCTACACTATTTACAATGCCTGGAAAAGATCATTTTCCAACTAATCAAGTTGGAAATTCCAGCAGAAACCCTACTCCATGCCCCACATGATCTGCAGGCAGTGGCCACCCTGCCAATGCGGTGACTGAATCTGCTTATAAAAATCATTGGATGATTGCATTAGGTCTCAGGAGAAAAAAGAACGTAAGTAACCTTGGCAAAGCAAGGAAAGTAGACATCTAAGAAGTAGAAAGAGATGTCAATATGATTTCCTGCTCAAGAAGAGAAATATTCAACCAAAATCTTACGCTGCTTTATTGTTAACAATAAAGAAACCTAAATCTTTGCATTTCTCTGACATAACAGAGTAAACATAGGGCCAAAATACTCGGTCAAGGAACTTGGAGCATATTGAAAAAGTATTTGTGTCTAAGCACCAGGAGTAAGATATATCTCACCTAATCTAAGCTGACTGGTCAAATTTCTCTAACAGGCAGCAGCAGAAATAGACACTTTTAGGGCATGATTTGCCCTAAAATCATCTTAAAATAAACACAAAAATAGGCTAGATGAGTCTGTAAAGGGACTCATGAGATTTATGCTTAAACTTGTCATGTAGAGCAAAGGTGTGATTTCACTTCACCTAGTTTTTTGGGTACTTTATTTGACCCTATGATGCCTGCACAGAAATACATTATCCCTTGTCACATGAAGCCTTGCTAGTGGGCACAAACACACTAGTGTCTCTCAGCAAGGACATCTAAATCCAAGCATTGACCTTCTTGGTGCAAATCAAGGAGGATTCATTAAGATGTTCCTAATGAGATGAAAAATTATCTACTTTAATTTGGAACTTCTACCTAGCAATGAGTAACAAGAGAGCTTTATTTAGGCCTGCTCTTGATGAATCAGGAATCGAAGCCTGGAAAGGCCTCATGCTTCCATTCTCTTAGGCGTGTCGCTACCATTACCAGATACACTGCACACATTCAGGGGAGCTGAGGCAGTCTGGAAGTCAGCTCTTTACACTGACAATGCCTGGGATATCATTACAGATATATGAATTTTTTTTTCCATCTGTTTGTAGAGTGAATAACGGTTCAAATTAAAGAAAATACATTTGTCTGACTTTAAGACAAACTTAAATATTTGCAGAATTTTCTCAAATATAGGACACAACAAACATCTCTCTACTTTCTGAAGGAAGAAACATCTAAAAGTTGACAGCTTTTCATTTTATGTGAAAGGCTCTGGAAAATGCATTCCAAAGCAGGGTGTTCAGGAAAAGTAAACTAACTGGATTATTGTTACAAAGGATGACACCTAGCCTCCGTTTCCTGTGGTAATGCTCACCCACACGGAGGAAATGTCTTCCAAGGAAAACACACTACTAAATTTCTCCACCGGAAGTCTAATCACCAAGTACAACTACATGTTGAAACCCTACTGGGTCAACAAAAACAGGAACAACAGATACATAAACAAAACCAAACACATCCACCCACACATCTATATGACTTTTAGAACAGGATGCAGAAGTCTACAAGATCTTAGCCAAGGTTACTGTGTGTTTATGGTATTCTGACCCTAAATTTACACTGAAGGATTTAAGTTAATATGAGATGATGTTACTCTTCTCACTGAAAGTTTCTTGCTTTTTTCAAGCCCCTAAAAACAACAAGACATGCTACCACTGCTGCAGCAGTCTGACACTTACAGAGTCAAACTCTCCCAGAAGAATACAGAATGACAAAAACACCATGTACAGCAGATCTGAATTTTTATTCGATACGAATTCTGGAAAAATGGATCAGTGAAATTTTCTTTGCTTGTCATGAATTAATGAGAAGTAACAGAATTCAGGGCATTCAGGGCACAAGATTTCAACTTTACAGCATTCAATACCAAAAACAGTTCTATTTACACTGGCTTTTTTTCCCCTAAAGTTGGAAAAATCTTTGGTTACATATAAGAATTAACAGTAGACTACTGTTAACAAACTTGAGAAAATAAATATTGCTCTGCCATCATTATCAGCCCATACCTTTTATTTCCCCAAGGAGGGAATCAATTCTTTGTAGAAGGGCAGAAGTTCAGTCTTGTGAGACTGGACTTCAAAGCTGAAGAATACAGGCAATCTGAACACATGCTACACAGTGCTTCATTCAAGTAAACAAACACACGGACCTCTCAAAGGAAAATGTGTTTATTAARGCTGAGAAACGACAAGTTTTAAGTTTTGTTAATATGTCATTCTGAATGTTTTGTAAAGTATGAATCTAGAGAATAAGTGAATTGCCAGGCCACAAAAGAACAAAACTGCTGAGTCCAACACATTGACTTTGGGACACTGAAGGACATTCTAAAGCACTTTAAATTCTAAACACTATTGACTGTACCAATTGGTGTACTGGACTTTTAAGTTGTATCTAGCTGCTATTCAAGGAAGGGAACCTTCCTTCAGAGCAACCTTGTCTTATGTTC